ATAGTCTTTGAAAAGAGGCCGGTCCACCTGACGGCCAAAAAACCAATTCCATCCTCCACATAAAATCGCAATTATTTCAACTCCATGTCGAAACCCAATGATTGAAATCAACAAACTCAGTATTTTCTTCGACGATCGATTTCACTTTCTGAGGGACTACCAAAACTAAGGCAGCCGTCTCGGTTGAATGCTCCCCGTCACCTTCTTCAGCTTCTCACTATTCGGTGCATCAATAGAAATATACAGTTGAGTCACTTGAGGGAGACTGCCCAGCTCCTCAGGGTGTTGTCCATTAGTAACTACCATCATCATACACCGTCACGCCCCACGAAATGATACCCAAAAACGTCGACATACTGTACGGAGGGCTGTGCATAACTCGGAGAAAATCGGCCATTCTCGGGTACATCACTGGTTCGCCCACCAACGACAGCGCCACATGTCTGCATACTTCGACAATATCCCCAGAAAACCATTCTTCGAGACTACCGCGGTTTGAGAGCTTCCGAGAAACTGTCTGTGTCCACCTGAGCGCCCTTCAGAGGCTTCACGACTTTCGATACGTGCTTCTCCAACATCTGATCTACTAACCATTTGGGGTCGTCCGCCTGAACAGAGATAACACCAGTGTTGGTGACAATGGGAATTCTCGTAGATTTTGATAATTTCACCCCAAAGTCGTGAGGAAACTCCCCAGCTCAGCAACACATACCGGATGGCGTCCTCTCGATGAGCCAACCCCCATCGCCGCACAGAAGGACAGTGTTGGCGACAATCGGAATTGTCGTGCATTTTTATCCATTTCAAGTCGTGTGTGAAATTCACTCTTCCTGTATTATAATACGCCCCTACTAATTTAAATAATTGCATAAGTTAACTCTTGAGCTCAGCTGAGGAAACCAGATATATAATACTCCGATCATCTCCGCCCACCTCAAAAGATCCCCATTTGAGAGCGTTCGGATGGGTACTCCCACGCCAACAGAATGTACATCGATTAGCACATGCCACGCTGGTTGTCGACTCCATACACCTAACGAACATGGTCTCTAGTAATCCTAGTGAAATGGAAAACACTGGTGAAAAATATATTTCACGACTACTGCATATCACCGCGAATATCGCGTTTTTCACAGAGTATTACGACGCCACTCCACGTAAAACGGGTAGTCGTGAAACTCCATTGATACCTTTATATTTAACGTTATCATTATAGCATTTTATTATACATCAAAATGATATATAAATCTATGATGGTAAAATAGAGATATCGAAGTTTTAAAATAATGCAGTTTCACCCGTGACATGGAAAACACTAGTAAAAAACATATTCCACATAAACGCGTAAAACACGTGATATGTTTAACGTGAAATGGGGTGATTCGTCCGGTGTAATTCGCCAAGTATTTTCACTTCACTTCATATCGCGTTTCTCACATGGAGTGTTACGCCACTTCACGTAAAACGGGTGAAACTCCAGTCCATCATCGAGTTATAATAATACCATAATCCCCAAAACGGCCACCCCAATGACGACCCACCGATGACTCTCAATACCATAGAAGGTATGCTTATAGCAACCGCCCTGCCGACGAAGGCTACTCAACACCCATCGACAGCGTTTTACTGCAGAGTGACTCCCTGAGGCTATCCATCCACCCAGGTTCGATCCCCGCATGTTGCATTTTTACCCACTAATTGATACCCCTTCGTCTGCAAACCCTCCTTTATCGAAGGCGTCATCATTTGCTTCAATAAAGG